GAATGTGGTAGTTGCATTTCTCTCAATGGGGGAGAAAATGCTCTCGGATTTAATAAAAAATATCTTTATTTGTGATCCGAAGATGAACGAAGGACTTACAGGTGTGGAACAACATGAGGGTGAGAAATTAACGGCAGTTTTCATTTTTGGGAGAACTAACACTTTAAAGCACAAATCAATATGTTTGATGGATCACTGGACTGAGATCTAAGACGAAGAACACAAAACATGACCATAAAACATCCAAAGTCTCATTCAAGCAGGAGAAATGTTATTTCTTATATGCACTATATCTGTATTTTATGCAAAATGTCTGTCTTATGCAAATGGCTTGATGACACTATTGACTACATAACATGTGTGAGTCATATATGACTTTACCACAGTTTCTCCAGTTTACAGTGAGGATCCTGTAGTACATCAGAAAGCAGCGTCACTGAATCTCCTAGTTTATTCCACGACAGATTCAGTTCTCTCAGGTGTGAGGGGTTTGATCTCAGAGCTGAAGCCAGAGCAGCACAACCTTCATCTGTGACGCCACAATAACCCAACCTGTAGAGAGATGAAAATCATACATGTGAAACTCTATCAAACAGCTCTCAAAAAAGCAAACAACTTGCTGCAACAAACAACAACTTGCAATTCCAATATAATTACATTAATTCATGAGAAAAAAAAAGCACATGCATTTCTTAATGTCAAAGTATCCAAGTATCATGGGCAAATTTACACAAACAAACAAAAAAAAATTTAAGACTGGATTAAATCAACATTTATCTATTAATTGAGTAAAATTGTAATTGTGTGTAATTGTATTGTAATTGAGTAAAACTGAAATTAATGTAATTCATCTTTTAACAAACTTTTAACTGGTTGAACATGATTAAAACTAATCCTCAAGCTGGACTGTGAAATGGCAGATAGTTAATGTGTTTTAATGTAAGTCTGAATCTCGCTCTTGTCATTCCAGATGTCTCAAAGAAATATAAATAACAAACAATTATAATTAATAACTACCTTGTAGATTTAATTGTTGTCTTCAAAAGTGTGTGTTCAAGTATGCTGCTGTTTTGCTCCATTAACTGATTCATCAGATTTGAGGAGATTTGAGCTGCTGTATATATGAGCTGCTTCTCCACTTGTTTGGTTGCTCTCGATTTCTGCTTGCTCTTTTATGCCAGATGATAAATATTAAAATTCCTTCATGTTAATTTTATCATTTTTAACTGGAAAACCTGAATTATTTATATGCAACTTCTCTGACTTTGTTTGAATGCCTGAAGAAATCTTTTACAGTGTCTCTGTATTGAAAACACATCAAAATGCTGACCACTAATAATAGCTATAGCACTGAAGATTTATGAGCTTTTAACTTAGATTTTCTTAATGTTTTAACAGTGAAGTGATTGTTCTCAGTGATACTTACTGAACTGATCTGGATTCTTTAATCACAAGCAGCAACTTCTGAAGAACTTTCATATTTTCAGGATTATTCTGTTCTTCAACAAATTTATCAAGACGAAACTCATTCAGTTCCTCTTCTGATGTCAACAACACAAAAACTACAGCTGACCACTGAGATGAAGAGAGTTTGGCTTCCTTTATTCCTCCAGATTTCAGATACTGTTGTATTTCCTCCACTAGTGAACGATCACCCAGTTCATTCAGACAGTGGAACAGATTGATGGATTTCTCTGGAGAGTCAATGGTCCTGATCTTCTTCTTGATGAACTCATTGCTGTCAGAGTTGCTTATTTTCAGCATCATTATTCGTTGTAGGATAATCTGATGAGACTCCACTGACAAACCCAGAAGGAACCGCAGGAAAAGATCCAGATGTCCATTTTTACTCTGTAGAGCCTCATCCACAGCTCTCTGATGCAGCTCAGATAATGACACATGTTCTGATGAATTGAGTTGAAACC